AACCATTAGAAGAAAGAAAATGCAAGAAGAAATAATAAATCTGTCAAAGTCAGGAAAGAAAAAAGACAACATAATATGGTAGATTGAAAACATGAGATTATATGGTAGGAATAAATCCAAAAGGCCCTAGGATTGCCCCTGCCTTTGGCTTCAGGTTGAGGTCCAGAGGAGTGGAGGGAAGGTTCCCCAGGAGGAGCGGATTCCCCTAAGACAGCCTGCCACCATTTAAAGGTTTGTTGGTGAAGGTGGGAATAAATGAAAATCCTTATACATGGCCGGGGAGAAAATAAATTGGTGATGTCTTTTCAGAGCAGTTTGACAGTATCTGTACAATTAAAAAATTTAAGATAGTTGTGTCTACTCAGCAATTCTACTTCTAGATATTTAACCAAGAGAAATATCTGCTTCTTAGCACAAACAAGTATATATAAGCCTATTCACGTCAACGTTATTTATAAAAGCCAAAGATACAAGCATCTCAAAATGCATCACCAAGGGAATCATTAAATGAAGTCTGGAAATCTGTACTCTGGAACACCATGCAGCCGTTAAACTGGAGGTGGGCAGCCACATGAGAAAATCCTCAAGACCCATTTTTAGGCAGAAGCATGTTACAGAGAAAATTCTGTGTTAAAAAAAAAAACTTCTCTACTTATGTGCGTGTATTCTTATAGGTATATAAATATATCTGAAAAGACACATCAAATTTCTATTTCTGGGCTCGGGGGCTGGAAATTGGATAAATTTCTTATTTTACTACCTTTCCCTGACCTATCATGCCTGAGCTATAGGTGAGGATACACCTTAAATCAGTGACCAATATGGTGCCCTCTCCCCCACAGCCATGTGCAGGACTAAGAGACAGAGAAGCGTAGTGTCTCTTACCTGGCACCTAATAATCCACGTAAGGACTTTTTCCTTTTCATCTGCACAATCTGGGATCATTGGATTTTGGAAGTTCTAGTGCCCAAGGAAAGAACCCACCCACCAGGGAAGATACCTTTGGTTCTGTTTCAGTTTGAAGATGAGATTGAATCCTGGCTGATTTGGGCTCCTCATTATACCACTAGGTAGGGGATATGGGAAATTGTACTTTTGGGGGTGACTGATTCTTATTAAGAAGGGAAATAGGTCTGTTGCTTCACGATGGGGAAAAAGAAGACTGAGCCTGGAATTCATGAGACTCTGGGGTGCTAGACAGCACTCACATGTCCAATAATATAATGGTCAGTGGTGCATTGTGGTGACCCAAGATAGACAGGACCATAAGGACTTGGATGCTGCAGAAATGAAGTTTGGGGTCACCCCACTCGGTAAAAGAATCCTGACCAGCTGAGGTGCTGGGAGAGGGTAAGGGATCATGGAAAAGGTAGTGGAAGAAGGAAGCTATGATTGTCAACCATGAAAGAAGTCTCAGAGACAAAAGGAAAAAAAAAAAGGTTACTTGCAAAGAAGTTGTAAGGGCATGACTAATCATTAATTTTTATATTTAATCTTTTCTTACTATAAAAATTTAAATCCCACTTCAGATCAAAGAAAGAACTTTCTCTGGAATCATCGCTGAATGTATATTTAACTAAATTCTCATTTGTTGTGCTCTTTTGTGCGTGGGTTCCTAGGAAGATAAAGACAAATGTCTGTTTCAGGCCTGTTTAACATGTACATATCATGATTGATCATGTAAACAATATGAGCCTGTGTGTTACAATTTTTAATATTGAATAACAATATGGATAATAAATATATTCACAAGGAATGAGTACCAGGGATATAAATTAAACTGCTTAGCTGAAACTAAAAAAAAAAGTTGTAAGGGAATCAGACTTTGGGAGGACGGGCTTACCAAAGAAAACCACACCAGGTATTCAAAGGAAAATACTGCACAATAACCAGTTTTAACAAGTTTTCATCAGTCTGCTCCTGATGGCAAAACAGAACTTCTCTCACATGATTAGCCTGTGCACAAAAGGTCATGAGAGATCTTAAGGCATCAGCATTACAAAGGCAGGGAGAAAGTTGTTTTTCCTAGGGAGTCAGCAATTTATGGGAAATGCTCAAAGTTTCATTTATTTTTGGGACTAGAAGGAGAACTGTTTTGTGTGTGTATGTAAAATCCACATGCAATTTATCAGCAAAAATCCTGTCAATTCTACCTTCACAGTATTTCAGAATCAAAACATTTCTCACCACCACCAAGCACAAACCACCATCATCTCTCACCCAGCTATTACAATGGCTCTTATTATTATTTAAAAAAATTTTCTTGGAGTATAGTTGATTTACAATGTTGTGTTAGTTTCAGGTGTACAGCAAAGTGATTCAGTTATATGTATATATATATTCATTCTCTTTCAGATTCTTTACCCATATGGGTTATTACAGAATGTTGAGTAGAGTTCCCTGTGCCATACAGCAGGTCCTTGTTGGTTATCCATTTTATATATAGTAGTGTGTGTTTGTTCATCCCAACCTCCGAATTTGTCCCTCTCCCCCACTCTGGGTTGCCACTCTGGTCCCGGTTCATGAAATTCACAACACAGTAGTCACATTGTTACAGTTTAAATGTAAATCAGTTCACTCAGTCCTCTGCTCTGACCCCTCCTCCAAAACCTGCCCCTCTTACGGGTAAAAACAAATCCGTGACAATAGCCTACAGGCCCTGAAGAATTGGAGCTCCAGGTTTTCCCGCTATGATTCATCTACTTCTCCCTCACCTCTTTCAGACTTTTGCTCAGATAATCATCTTCCCAGTCTAGGCTGTTCTTGACATCCTAGTCTTGACAGCCTGTTAAAAATTGACCTTATTTTACCCACTTCCTTGCTATATTTTCTTCCACAGCACTTATCACCGTATGACATTATATATATTTTACTCAATATATTTTTATTATTATTAATTTTTATTTATTTACTTTTGGCTGCTTTGGGTCTTCATTGCTGTGTGCAGGCTTTCTCTAGTTGCAGCGAGCGGGGGGCACTCTTCATTGCAGTGTGAGGGCTTCTCATTGTGGTGGCTTCTCTTGTTGCGGAGTGGGGGCTCTAGGCTTGTGGGTTCAGTAGTTGTGGCACGCAGGCTCAGTAGTTGTGGCACGCAGGCTCAGTAGTCATGGCTCACGGGCTCTAGAGCACAGGCTCAGTAGTTGTGGTGCACGGGCTTAGTTGCTCTGTGGCATGTGGGATCTTCCCAGACCTGGGATCGAACCCATGTCCCCTGCACTGACAGGCGGGATTCTTAACCACTGTGCCACCAGGGATGTCCCTATATTTTGCTCATTTATTCTGTTTACTGTCACCCGGTAGAATATAAGCTCTGTGACCAGGGCCTTTTTTACCTCTTTGTTTACTTCTGAAGGATACGTTTCTTCAGGGTTTCAAAAAAGCCAGACCAGAAGGTACACAGCAAGTCAGTATGGCCTTGGCACCTGGAAAGGGAGTCTTATCATCAAAGGAGGACCAGCATTGGCATCCCAAGAAGAGGAGCATTTAATCTTTATTTTAACATGGACATTCTTTACTTCTGGTCAGTGTACGCTTTCCTTTACTAATTAAAGCAGATGTACCCTGTGTGTGTGTGTGTGTGTGTGTTTAAGGGCCATTTATTTATTTATTTTTACTTTAATTTTGGCTGCATTGGGTCTTTGTTGCTGTGCGCAGGCTTTCTCTAGTTGTGGTGAGCGGGGGCTTCTCTTGTTGTGGAGCACAGGCTCTAGGCACGCGGGCTTCAGTAGTTGTGGCTCTTGGGCTCTACAGCGCAGGCTCAGTAGTTGTGGTGCACAGGCTTAGTTGCTCCGCAGCATGTGGGATCTTCCCGGACCAGGGCTTGAACCCGTGTCCCCTGCATTGGCAGGCAGATTCTTAACCACTGTGCCACCAGGGAAGCCCACAATGTATATTTGATAGGCCACAAACAGGCTGTTTTAGTTAGCATAAAATTCAAGTTAGCTCATGAAAAAGCCAGAATGACTTCTCCATACCTCAATATGTGAAAATTTCTTTTATCAACACCCAGTAAATACTTGTTGAATGGATGGGTAAATGCTTGGATGAGTGAATGGAGAAACATACCATGTTCTTTGTGGGAAAGATTCAATAATCTTTAATTCAATAATAATAATTCAGTAATAAGCAAAAATGTTGATTATCCCCAATTAAGGTGTGAAACTAATACAGTACTGGGGTCGACACAGAGATGAGAGACCCAGACCCCGCTCCCAGGAAGGACTTGCTGCCCAGTTGTGGGGAGTGTAACTTGTGCACACAGCCACCTCCCCTGAGGTCTCACCCCTGCTGCGGTGGCAGCATCAGGTAATAAAGGCCCTGGTTCAGCCCAGTGATGGGCAGCTCTGACAGGCGGTGCAGTTGGTTTGGCTAAAGCTTTGTGGGGTCTTTGCATCTGTTTAACTTCTTCCTCTGCCCCCTCCTCTTCTTTCCCCATCCTTTCACAGATGTGGATCCCTAATAAATAGACTGCACCCCAAATTGGCTTCCAAAAACCCAACCTGTAACAAATACTAATTAAAATACCAAATACCAAATACAAGCAAAGCAAGAAAACAAAACGAAACTGGAAACAACCTAAATGTTTATCAATAGGGAAAAGCTTAGTCAATAAATTATGGCACAGATTATGAAATGAGATGAAGATGAAAAATGAATAAAGGACATTTTATGAACTGATATGGTAAAATGTTCCTGATACATTGTTAAATAAATTTTAAAAAGCAAGTAGCAGAACACACTCCCATTTAATTAGAAAATAGAAACTGAAATGTATTTGCTTTCCTTCCTCCCCCCCTTTTTTTTTTTTAACATCTTTATTGGGGTATAATTGCTTTACAATGGTGTGTTAGTTTCTGCTTTATAACAAAGTGAATCAGTTATACATATACATATGTTCCCATATGTCTTCCCTCTTGCGTCTCCCTCCCTCCCGCCCTCCCTATCCCACCCCTCCAGGCTGTCACAAAGCACCGAGCCAATATCCCTGTGCCATGCGGCTGCTTCCCACTAGCTATATACCTTACTACGTTTGTTAGTGTGTATTCCTTCCTCCCCTTTTAAGACACTAAGAATCTTTCTTACTGTGAAAAGATTGTGTGTGTGAATTCAGAGCAGCCCCCTTAGAGGGATTTACAGAGTTGACAGGATTAAATTGAATCCGTTTCGTGAGGACAGTGTATGTGGAGAGAGCCCAGGCTAGCGTGTCCGGCAGCACTGGGCTGGAAATCTGGCTCTTTTGCTTACCAGGGGTGAGATCTTGGGCAAGTCACACAATGGCTCCGAGCCTAAGTCCATCATCCAAAATTCCTCCCAAGGTTCTTGTGGAAATTGAATGGTTAATGCAAGTGTCTGGCACAATCCTCATCAGATTTGCGTGCTCAATAAATTCTGTTCTTTCCCCTGGCTTCTCCCCTCCCATTCCGGCCAGGAAATCCTACTCTCCACCACCCGCTTCCCTCCTTCCCAGCGGAGTGAAGAGAGCTGGCCAGAGCTAGGGGAGCATGATGGCTGAGGCCCCAGAGGAAGCTCAGATGCCAGGGACCCCGGGTCAGGATTGAGCGAGAGCAGAGCAATGGGCTCCTCTGGACCCGGGTTTGCAGTGACGGAGACACCAACGATTCTGAGGTCTTCAGATGCAGGAAGTGAAAGGAGGTGTGGGGCAGACTGCACCTCTGTTTCCTTCTGGTCCAATGCTTCTCTCCCAAATGATAAAATTGAGGAAGTCATGGGAACTCAAAAGAAGCGGAAAGGGAGTAGACACTCCCTACAAGAGGAAAGCAGAGCTGGCCCCGTATCCAGCTGCCCTGTGCACACCACGTCTGCCTGCGTTTTGATTTCAATTCCGTCCTGTTATTTACTGCCCCAATCAGGGAAACGGGAGATTCCCAGATTATAGACTCCTGGTCTTTCAGACACAAAGACCAGCAGGTCTCCAGTCACTTAGGTGGCTCCTCCTTCAGTCACCTCCATCCTAACTCTGCAGGATTTAGTTTTTTCCGCTCTGGTCACCGCTGCACAAAGAACTCAAGAATCATAGCCTCTGGACTTTTCACAGGTAACCAGGTTGGGGATGCAGGTGAGACTAAGGGGGCAGGGAGGATGTCAGAGAAAGCAGGGAGAGGGGACTGTGGGTCTTAGGTGAGACTGAATGGGAAGATATGTAAGGGGGCAGCTTGGGGATTTAATGACCGAGCAGAGATTTTAGACTCTCTTCCCTTCACTGGATGCAGATTGAATTGTGGCAGCCACAACCTCAGTCACAAACTGAGACTCACACTCAACCCCTTCTCTAGCCCAGTTCCAGCCCTGTCTTCAGTCCCCACTCCAGCCAAACCCCGTACCAACCCCAGTTCCTCCTTTAACCCCAATGGCATCTTCACCCCCAGAGTCAGCTTGAACCTTTGTGTTTTTTTTGGCCGTGCAGTGTGGCACACGGGATCCTAGTTCCCCAACTAGGAATTGAACCTGTGCCCCCTGCAGTGGAAGCGGGGAGTCCCAACAACTGGACCGCCAGGGAAGTCCCAAGTCAGCTTGAATCTTAACACCAGCCCCCACCCAAGCTTGAACCTCAACTCTCTCCTATTTCCAACTTCAGCACCAAGCTTAGGTCCAGCTCCATCCATGGCTTCAACATGAGTACTGACCCCAATCCTAGCAGGAGACGCAACCTCGATTCCAGCTCCCAGTGTTAGACCCAGTCCTAGCAATACATTTAGCTCCAACTTTACCTGCACTGTCAACCCCAAACTCAACCTGACCCTAGCTCAAAGCCCAATCCTGACCCCACTTCTGACCTCAGCTGCAAAGCCAAGCCCATCCCCGTTGCTAGCCTTGACCCTGGGCTTCTTCTCAACCCTCATCTCTTCCCTTATCTCCAGCCTTGCACGCGGGTCTTACCTGGTCCCAGCCTCCATCTTTATCCCAGCTCCTTCCCCAGCCTGGCCGCTGGCCCTGCCTCTACTTCAGCTTTGACAGCCTCAGAGGCCGTGTTGGTCCAAACATGTCAGTGAAGTATGAAGACCTCCAGTACTTGGAGAGTGAGAAGAAAAGCCAGGGGTTTACAGATGGTAAGATGAATGGGGAAACGGTCTTTCCTAAAATCTCCTCTGAATATGTTTAGAAGGATTTCTGCTGTCGTGTCATGTCTGCACCTCTACCATATGTACTGGTGGGGTCTCTCACTCTGAAGGGGAGGCCCCAGACTCTGGGGACCCCAATAAAAACACGATTCAAGGTCCACAGCAGTCCTGGCTTCCTGTGCTCTGGGGAAGGGCATGAGAGTAAACCCATTTTCTTTCTCTCTTTTTTTTTTTTTTAATTTTGCCACTTAAAAGATTTACTGGCTATTTATTGTAGCTATTATTATTATGGACACATCCAGGAATAACAAAACATAGACCCAGATTAATTACACTGAAGGAAATTGCTAATATTGTCTTTTAAAACCATTGCAGCCATAATGATTGTTGCCTCCCAGCCTGGGCATGTTAAAAGCACCTAGTGTACATTTTCCAGAATTTTATTTTTCCTTCTTTTATTTCCAAAGTCTTTTTTAAAAATTAATTAATTTATTTATTTTTGGCTACATTGGGTCTTCGTTGCTGCGCATGGGCTACTCTTCATTGTGGTGCGCAGGCTTCTCGTTGCGGTGGCTTCTCTTGTTGCAGAACACAGGCTCTAGGCATGTGGGCTTCAGTAGTTGTGGCATGTGGGCTCAGTAGTTGTGGCTCACAGGCTTAGTTGCTCTGTGGCATGTGGGATCTTCCCGGAGCAGGGCTCGAACCCGTGTCCCATGCATTGGCAGCCGGATTCTTAACCACTGTGCCACCAGGGAAGCCCTTATTTCCAAAGTCTTGAGGAATAACTTCTTCATAGAGCCTTTACCTTAATGGCCAACAGTAAATCTCTTCTCTCCTATAGATGTGCCCTACTTGTACTTCTGCTTATTAATCCAGAGGTCAGCAGTGTGTGTTCCTTATGGGCAAGTGCAGTGTGCCCCATATTAGTAAACCCATTTTCTAACTTGTGTTCACTGATGAGTGTGAGCCTGCTAAGGTAGTTGCCGTCTCTCTCCCTGGGTCCTCCTGCCTGGTGCCCCAGCTCTGACGATAGGACCTTATACATCGCCATCATCCCCTGTCTGTGTGTCTTTGTGTACATGTGTCCCCAGGGGTGTGAGGGGCCCGTGTGACTGAGCACTTGTGCTGGTCCATGAGGGGTCAGGGGCCTGGACAGCCTCCCCCCAGCATCAGCTGCAGCAGCCTCCTCCCTGCAGGTCCCCATGGCCCTGTCCTCCTCCCCGTCTCTCACGTCCTGGACCCTCCTCGTCCTGACGCCCTCTCCTCTTGCAGGGCTGCCTGCCCTCGAGACCTTCCTGCAGCGGCTCCTCTCCAGCACCCGCTCCTTCCTGCTCTCCCTGGGCCTCAGCCTCCTCCTGCTGGTCGGCATCTGTGTGATCGGATCCCAAAGTGAGGGGCACGGGGTGGGCAGGGAAGAGAGAAATAATGGGGTGCAGTGGTGGGGGCACTGGTGGCGAGAGTGATAAATGAGGATGACTGCTGGCCCTGTCACTTATCAGTTGGGGAATGAGGTCAAATTATGTCCCCTCTCTAAGCCTTAGTTTCCTCACCTGCAATATTGTATAACAATAGTGCCCATCCCTTTGGGTGGGGTCACGCTGTAGGGACCCAATGACACAATGCATGTCAAGTGCCCTGCCCAGTGCTGGCACAGAGGACCTGATAACCCTTAGCACTGATTGTCTCATCCACCTGATCAGATTCCAAGTTTCAGAGGGACCTGGCAACCCTGAGAACAACTTTCAGCAACTTCACTTCAAACACTACGGCTGAGGTCCAGGCACTGAAATCCCAGGGTGAGCCTGGTATGGAAGGGGCTCTGGACTGGGGTGGGGTGCGGTGGGAGAGGGGGAGGAACTGACTCCTGAGCCCTGAGTCTCTGTGTTCTCCAGGTGGAAGCTTGCAAGAAATGATAACATCTCTGAAAGCTGAGGTGGAAAGTCACAAGCAGGAACTGCAAGCAGGTGAGAGACCCTTCGGGAGAGTGTGTGGAGGGGTGAGTGCCAGGCACTCAGGGCGGGGGAGAAATGGGAGCAGTCACGTGGTGCTGAGTGCCCTCCCTTCCAGCCCGTAGCTTGAATGACAAGGTGCTTTCTCTGGAGAGCAGCCTGGAGAACCAGCTGCAGGAACTCAAAGCAGGTCAGGCCCCTGCTCCCCTTCACCTGGGCATGAGGCGTGTGGGAGGGCAAGGGGGTTCCTAGGCTGGGGCCCCGGGCGTGGACCTCTGGTCTCCAGGGACTCAAGGAGCAGAAGCCACACCCAGGGCACTGTCCCCACTGCCCATCCGTGTGCGTCCCAGGTTATTCCGAAATGCTCTTGCGAGTCCAACAGCTGTTCAAGAACCTGAACTCCCTGACCTGCAAGATGGCTGCTCTCAAGAGCAATGGTGAGGGCTGCATGGGGTGGGCCGGCCCCAGTGTCTGCCCACGTCCCCCGGACAGCATCTCAGACCCTCCCCTGCCCCGGCCCCTTAGGCTCGCAAAACAACTGCTGTCCTACCAGTTGGCTGGAGCATGAAGGCAGCTGCTACTGGTTCTCTTCCTCGGGGAAGCCCTGGCCTGAGGCTGAGAAGTACTGCCAGCTGGAGGATGCCTACCTGGTGGTCATCAACTCCAGAGAGGAACAGGTGAGGCCCCTAGAGCGCAGGTCCAAGACACGTCCCATTGAAGAGAATGGTTCTCCGCCTTGGCTACATATTGGCATCACCTGGGGAGCTTTTTTTTTTTTTTTTTTTTGCGATACGCGGGCCTCACTGCTGTGGCCTCTCCCGTTGCGGAGCACAGGCTCCGGACGCGCAGGCGCAGCGGCCATGGCTCGCGGGCCCAGCCGCTCCGCGGCATGTGTGATCTTCCCAGACCGGGGCACGAACCCGTGTCTCCTGCACCGGCAGGCGGACTCTTAACCAGTGTGCCACCAGGGAAGCCCGACCTGGGGAGCTTTTAACAACGACTGCCATCTGAGCCAGACCCTCAGAGGTTTAATTGGCCCCGGGCGTTGGGATTAACACCCCGAATCTCCTTGACGGGTTTAATGAACACGTGAAGTTCAGAAATGCTAGTCCAAGGAGTTGGCAGGGTGGGGAGAAGTCACCACTGCCCTTCTTTTGTCCCAGGATTTTGTCCAGGCCCATATAGGCTCCTCCTACACCTGGATGGGCCTCAGTGATCTGGATGGAGTCTGGAAATGGGCGGATGGGACGGACTATGAGACCAACTTCAAGTGAGTGCCCTGGGTTTCTGTGCCCTTCTTCCTCGTTCAGCTCGGTTCCTCCAGGGTCTGACCCTCAGCCCCTTCTCCCTGACCTGGATTTTGTGCCTCCCTAGCTGCCTGTTGTCCTCTCCCCTCAGGAACTGGAAGCCAGGCCAGCCGGACGACTGGCAAGGGCACGGGCTGGGTGGGGGCGAGGACTGTGCCCACTTCCACCCCGATGGCAAGTGGAATGACGACGCGTGCCAGAGACCCTACCACTGGATCTGCGAGGCTGGGCTGAGCAAGGGCAGCTAGGGGAGCGGACCACCTGGCCAAGGAAATGGCGGGGCTGGGGGAGGGGGACCTTCTCCTGTGGGAGAGGAATAAGCCCTGGGAGATTGGAGCACTGCCATTGTTTGGCGTTGGGTTTTTTTTTCCCCCTTAACTTTTAAAAGATTATCTAGAGTTCCTAAGGTATTTTTTTTAAAAAGTTCTGCTTTATTGAGGTATAACTGACGTACAAAATTGTAAGATATTTAAAGTGTACATCGTGATTTGATACAGGTATGCGTTGTGAAAAGATTCCCCCATCTAGTTAATGAACATATCCATGACCTCAGATATTTATCTATTTTTTAAGGTGAGAACACTTAAGTTCTACTCTCTTAGCAAATTTCAATTATACAATACAGTGTTATCAACTATGGCCACTGTGGTTTTTATAATTATTTTATTTTAAAAAATTTTATATTGGAGTATAGTTGATTAACAATGTGTTGGTTTCAGGTGTACAGCAAAGCAATTCAGTTATACATATACAGGTATCTATTCTTTTTCAAATTCTTTTCCCATTTAAGTTACTACAGAGTATTGAGCAGAGTTCCCTGTGCTATACAGTAGGTCCTTGTTGGTTATCTATTTTATTTTATTATTATTATTTATCTATTTTAAATACAGTAGTGTGTACACGTCAATCCCAAACTCCCAATCTATCCCTCCCCCCAACCCTTCCCTCCTGGTACCATAAGTTCGTTCTCTAAGTTTGTGAGTCTGTTTCTGTTTTGTAAGTAAGTTCATTTCTATCATTTTTTAAAGATTCTGTACGTAAGCAATATCATATGATATTTGTCTTTGTCTGACTTACTTCACTTAGTATGATAATCTCTAGACCCATCCATATTGCTGTGAATGGCATTATTTCATTCTTTTTAATGGCTAAGTAATACCCATTGTATATATGTACTACTTCTTCTTTATCCATTCATCTGTCGATGGACATTTAGGTTGCTTCCATGTCTTGGCTATTGTAAACAGCGCTGCAGTGAACATTGGGGTGCATGTATCCTTTTGAACAATGTTCTTCTCCAGATATACGCCCAGGTGTGGGATTGCTGGACCTTGTTGTAGCTCTGTTTTTAGTTTCTTTCTCTCTCTCTTTTTTTTTTGCCGTGCCACGCAGCTTGTGGGATCTTAATTCCCCGACCAGGGATTGAACCTGGGCCCTTGGCAGTGACAGTGTGGAGTCCTAACCACTGGACCACCAGGGAATTCCCTATTTTTAGTTTTTTAAGGAACCTCCATACTGTTCTCCATAGTGGCTGTACCAATTTACATTCCCACCAACAGTGTAGGAGGGTTCCCTTTTCTCCACACCCTCTCCAGCACTTATTGTTTATAGACTTTCTGATGATGGCCATTCTGACTGGTGTGAGGTGGTATTTCACTGTAGTTTTGATTTGCATTTCTCTAATTATTAGTGATGTTGAGTATCTTTTCATGTGCCTCTTGGCCATCTGTATGTCTTCTTTAGAGAAATGTCTATTTAGGTCTTCTGCCCAGTTTTTTGATTGGGTTGTTTGTTTGTTTTTTGATATTGACCTGCATGAGCTGTTTGTAAATTTCAGAAATTAATCCCTTGTTGGTCACATGGTCACCGTGTTTTACATTAGGTTCTCAGAACTTATTCATCTTATAGCTGAAAGTTTCTACCCTTTTACCAACCCTTTCCCGTTCCCCCCAACTCCCGGCCCTTGGCAACTACCTTTCTACTTTCTATCTGTGAATGCGACTTTTTTTTTTTTTTAAAGAGTCTACATGTAAGTGATACAGTATTGTCTTTCTCTGTCTGGCTTATATTACTTGGTATAAATGCCCTCAAGTTCCAACCATACTGTTGCAAATGGCAGGATTTCCTTCTTTATCATGGCTGAGTAATATTCCATCATTTTATATATACATATATATAATGGATATATGGTAGAATGTTATATTATTCTTTATCCATTCATCCACTGATAGACACTTAGGTTGTTTCCATATCTTGACTATTGTGAATAATGCTCCAATGAACATGGGACTGCAGATATCTCTTTGATATCCTGTTTTCATTTCCTTTGGATATAAACCCAGAAGTGGAATTGCTGGATCATATGGTACTTCTACTTTTAATTTTTTGAGGAACTTCCATATTGCTTTCCATACTGGCTGCACCAGTTTACATTCCCACCAACAGTGCCTAAGGGTTTCTTTTTTTCTCTACATCCTCACCAGCTTCTGTTTCTTTTTAACCTTAAAAATCAGCTTTATTGAGGTGTAATTCTTACCCAATAAAATGCACCCACTTAAAGAGTAGAGATGACTCTTGACAAATATGAATACCTAGGTAACTACCGCTCCAATCAAGATAGAACATTTTCCATCACCCCCCAAAGTTCCCTTATACCCCTTTGCGGTCTAACCCACTTATTTGTCCCCAGGCAGCTAATGATCTGCTTTCTTTCACAGCTAATTGGTTTTGCCTACTCTAGAATTTCTTAAGAATGAAATCACACAGTATATACTCTTTTGTGAAATCTGATGTATTTCATGTCACCTGATTTTTAACAACCTTAAAATGGCAGAATGGAGAAGCTAGGTGAGGTCTTGGAAAGTCCTATGTTATTGTGAAAAGAGTATTTTCCTTTCATATAGATTTGAGTTCAATTCTTTTTCTGTCACTTAAAAGTCAGGTAAACTTAGGGTAATAAGGAAAGGTAATTCTTTCATTTCTTTGAAGATCCCAGAATTGTTGGGAAAAGTAGATAAGATCCCAGGTGTATTGGCTACCTATTGCTATGTAACAAACCACCCCAATGCTCAGTGGCTTAAAACAACAAGCATTTATTATACCTCACGGGTCTGTAGATCAGCTGGGTGGTTTTTTGGTCTGGCTAGGCATGGCTCATCTTAGCTGGACTGGTTCATGCATTTGTGGTGGGTTGGCTGGGAGCTGGCTGGTCTAGGACGGCCTCTCTGCTGTGTCTGACATTTGGCTGGCTATGGGCTGGGGTAATGGGCTGGGGTAATGGACCATGTTAGGCTAGCCTGGGCTTGTTTGCATAGTGTTTGGGCAGGGTTCCAAGAGAGTAATCTGAAGAGTTGCAGGGACTCTGGAGCCTTAGGTTTGGAACTGAAGCATCACTTCTGCTGCATCCTATTGGCCAAAGTAGATCACAAGGCAGCCCAGATTCAGAGAGTTGGGAAATAGACTCCACCTTTTGATGGGAGGAACTACAAAGCCATATTGTGGAGAGAATGTGTATAGGGAGGGATGGAAATTGCTATTTTTCTAACAATCTAGCATACCAGGGGAAGCATGTCAATCATGGAGAAACAGCTCAAAGCTAAAGGTTCCCATTAAGAGAGGACAGAACCCATTCATTACTGTACTGGTACCAAGAAAACTGCCTGGCATATAGGAGTGTCTCAATTAATGTTAATTAAAATTAAAGAGGGTGATGTCAGAGGGAAGGTATGGGAAAAACAAAATTTAGCTCCCAGGAAGCAGCACCCTTTCACTTTACCCTGCCCACCAGCATCACATGAAAATCATCAGGATGGAGCAGAGAGAGGTCTTGATGGAAAGTGCTCTGAGGGGACCTGGAACCGATGGGTCCAGAAGACACTGCCCAATATGCAAGAGATTCCATAAGGGGCAGCAGTACCCAGTGAGTTCTGTGGCCACAATATACTGGAACCCAGTGTAGCCAAGGGCACAGAACATTAAAACCATACCAATAATACTCCAAACCAATAACTTCCAGGTCATTTCCCTCATCACTTTATGCAGTCCTACTTAATTAATTCTTCTTCTGCTGGATGTTGGGTCAGCATTCAAGTCTCATGAAGTTCTCTGTGTCTAGACTAGAATAGTCCTGGAAATCCGGACTCAGTCTAATGATGGAACTGACAGTTATCTAAGCAACATCTGCTCAGAAGCCCATACTCCTGAGTGTGTCCCTTGAAATAATAGTATTTAAGAATACTTGGTACCATGCCTTTCCTGAGGCTTGCAGACTACCCTTCTTTGTTGAAGACATTTTTCTAAACCACATAGCTACAAACAGGGTCTTCAGGCAAGAGCAGAAGGAAACAGAAAACTTACAGATTGATAAGGTTAAATGGCTACAGTTAATTTATTATAATAACCACCAATATCATAATGGAGAATAATGTTATCTATTGAACGTAATACAGAACTATTTTATGAGGATTTGATGTATGTTTCCCAAAGAGGAAGAACATTTTGTGGTCAATGAGGGCATTGACAAATCTCCAACACCTTCCAATCTGTAGAGTGTACAATCTCTGAAACACTTATATTACCATTAACATTTTGCCAGTACATATTAACCTAGGGATGGCTGAATTCCCTTTTGATTGAACAGCTCTTCCCATATAGCTCTTAAAATAGTGGTGAGATAGTTAAGAATATGGTGCACACCAAATGAACTTTTTTTGTTTGTTTGTTTGTTACCATCTCTCTTTCTCTAAAGGAAAAGAAAAAAATCTTTGTAGTGATCCAGTGACCTTCTGGGGAACCCCAAAATCGTTTAGGGTAAAAGACACCTTCAGAATTTTATTTTATTTTTATTTATTTATGTATTTTTAGAAGAATTTATGTATTTATTTATTTATTATTTATTTTTGGCTGTGTTGGGTCTTCATTGCTGTGTACGGGGGCTACTCTTCGTTGCACTGCGTGGGCTTCTCATTGCAGTGGCTTCTCTTGTTGCAGAGCACAGGCTCTAGGTGCACGGGCTTCAGTAGTTGTGGCACATGGGACTCAGTAGTTGTGTCTCGGGGGCTGTAGAGCGCAGGCTCAGTAGTTGTGGTGCACGGGCTTAGTTGCGCTGCGGCACGTGGGGTCTTCCAGGACCAGGGCTCGAACCCATGTCCCCTGCATTGGCAGGCAGATTCTTAACTGCTACACCACCAGGGAAGCCCCAGAATTTTATTTTTCTGAATTTAAGGTCTGGTCTTGAGAAGGCAAAATTAAAATTTTTCAGATAAGTTGGGACTTCCCTGTTCACGCAGTGGTTAAGAATCCGCCTGGCAATGCAGGGGACAACGGGTTCCATCCCTGGTCTGGGAAGACCCCACATGCTGCAGAGCAACTAAGCCCATGCACCACAACTACTGAGCCTGTGTACCCTAGAGCCTGCGTGCCACACTACTCTGCCCACATGCCACAGCTACTGAAGCCTGCATGCTCTAGGGCCCGTGTGCCATAACTATTGGGCCCATGTGCTGCAACTACTGGGCCCGCGTGCTGCAACTACTGGAGCCTGCGCGCCTAGAGCCCGTGCTCTGCAGCAAGAGAAGCCGCTGCAATGAGAAGCCTGTGCACTACAACGAAGAGTAGTGCCCCCTGC